TGGGAAAAACTGTAGTCATGTAAACTGTTACTAATAATACAATTGGGCAAATGTTATAACATCTTAATATCCAGATTTTTTTTATTTTTTTAAAGCTTTTATTTACTTATTTATTTGCATAGAAGAACTGGGGTGGAGACAAGACGTGTGGGAGGGTGAGAAGAGACAGAGTGGGGAGCAGAACAGGCAGATCAACTGAAATACCCTGCAGAGGGGAGCAGCAGGTGAGACTGGAGAGGTGCCGTGCCCTGTGGGTCACCTCCCTATCCAGGGATCGAACTCAGGCTAGTGGTGATAGTGCTGAGATTAGCCCCTAAGCCACAAGGGAGTCCCATCCTGCTCATTTTATTTGACCATGTACTGTAATCAGTATAACTTCCTGGGAAAGTAGAAATAGTAACTATTGTCTGTGTCAACCCAAAACAAGTCACACTCACCCATTATGTGTGTGTGCTAGAGTGGAAGAAACCTCTTTCCAAATCTTATATTGAAAATATTTCTGTAAGCTTTTCACTCCACCAAATTTTGCAAGCAGAAGTTGGAATGAGCAGAAAGTGAGTATTGCAGTAAAGAATATAAAGCCCTACAGGACACGATGTGGTCACCTGAAGACATCAACTCATGTGTCCTCCCAACAGCCACATCATGTGGACATCACCAGACACTTCCACATAAGGGAGCTGAGGCCTCAGCAGGTTAAAGTATAGCGCTAAGTAGCTAAAAGCCACTTATGCATGAGTTCGATCCCCGGCCGGAGAGCTGACCCACATGGCGCCGCAGACCTCTCCTGACCCGCCCGCTGCTCCCCTCAGCAGTGTACTTCATCAGTCAGCCTGTTCTGCCCCGCACTCTGTCGCTGGTGAATCCTTTCACTGTGCCTGTACCCCAGTTCTATATGCATAATGAAATCTTAAAAAAAAATGAAAGAAAGAAAAGAAGTGTGTGCTGGCTGCAAACCAAGTGTGTCACTGGTTATGCAGGTGAAATCTGTTGTTGTTTTTTTTTTTTTTTCCTTGTAATAGAGTGTTTTCCTTGAAGCAAATCATTTGATTCACATTGTCCATGGATCTTACCTACTCACTATTCTTTAGAACTATGAGAATGCAATAGAACTGTAATAATGGCACCCAAAAATCAGTGACTAAAGAAGACAAAATGTATTTCTCATTCATGCAATCATCTAAAAATAGACAGGCTGTCTCAGTTATCCAGTTCTGTCCCCCCAAGTCATCCAGGGTCCACAAACCTGTGGCTGCCCTCATTTTGACTCACTTTCCATTGGACTGAAATGAGTCATATGAAGAAAGTAGCTGTGAAATATATTCTTTAGCTTGGATGCCATATACTAAGCACAACAGAAAACGGTCTGTCCCTGGTGGAAGGAAGGGAAGAGAGTCTAGTCCTTGCTGCTACAATGAAAATAATAGCTAAAGAGTTCAGCTGAAGCTAGACCAGGAGACTTTGAGTTGAATACTAAATAAGAAGATCGCAGAAGGTAGTCAGACCAGTCAAAAATAAAATTTCTGTTTTTATGAAAACTAGATAAGAAATGTCTAGTTGATTGGCTTCCTTTGTCCATTTCTATAGAAAAATTCATAGAGAAATCAGAGACGGAAGTCAAAGATCTAACCAATCCCAAGGCAAATTCTCAAAACAATGCAGTTTTCCTTATACATGACTGGTCTTCTCACATTGCACTCACTGGTGTTGCACTGGAAGCCGAGAATAGAAAATATATGGGGATCAAGTGTATCTTTTAATTTCGTGTGGCAGGGAAGAGCCACTGCCATGTTTTGTGTTCCCTAGAAGCAGAGAGATTCGGTGCCTAGTGATTCATTGAGGAAACGCTCTCAGGAAGAAAACAATAAAGAAAAAACTATAGTAGGAAGACTATGAGTAAAGAGCTGGGCACACAGGCGGTCTCAGGTGAAGCCTGGCCTCCGTGAAGCCTGGCCTTGACCTGAATCGCAGAGAGTGAACACAGAGATTTGTCTTAGCCTGTGGCTAGGAGACAGTTCCCTCTCACCCCCATCTCTGGCAGTCTGTATATGTGGGTGTCTCCATGTATAAATTCCATCAAGTAATACCTACTGCAAAGGGCCATTGGCAATCTTGCCACCTGCTGGAATTAGAAGCTGGTGGGGGATGGAGTCAGAGAGGGGGTTACTCTGGCCCGGAACATCTGTTTTCAGTAGAGAAAAGACAACCCTCATTTGCCCATTCCTTGCACCAGCGTAGTTCTCTTCAATCCTCATACATTCACTCCATCCAGGCACAGCTTTTCCAGAATCCTGTGAATGTGATTCCTGGGTACGCTTACAAGAGGAGAGTCTGGGAGAGAGTCTGTCACCCCATCACTGCAGCTGGCCTCACAACCAAAAGCAATGCCCACATCCTCTCATCTCTCTTCACTCTTCTGGACTTCTTTCTCCCTTGGCTAGCATTTTCGCAGGCCAAATGACCAGCTGCTTGAGTCAAGGGGGCCTCTGGAGGCACCCCAGTTTGTCCTCTTAACTCTTCTCTTGTATTTCCCCCAGGAGTGATGACGGATAAGGTGTGGCTTTAAAGCTGACTTGCTTTGTGACACTCTCCTCATGGTGGAGTCTGTCCCACCCCTGCAGGCACCTCTCAGCCATATTTGCTCATTCCTGTTTAATTCCAAGAAGTCACCTAAATGAATAGCGTGCATTGGAAAGAGGTTTCTTCCCGTCCCTGCGCATTCTCCCAACTTGTCAGAATGATCAAGGTCACTCACTTCTATCAGGGTGGTAGCTCTTTGCCTGCCTGCCAGTCTACCCACATGGCACACCCAGCCCCAGGTGAACAGGCAGCAGTGGCAGCTTCCAGAACCCCGAGCCTCTTCCGTGCCTCTCTTCCTGGTGTTCTGGTGGAGGCAGGGAAACATCCCTCTCTGGGAGCTAGACCTCCCTAACCCATGCACCTTCCCATGCAGAATCTCCCAGGAAGTCGCTGAGAATGTGGCGGGTGGATCCTCTCTTTCATCATCCCCTTCATTCCTGGACATATCATATTGCCCTTTGGAAGCCCCCTTATGGCCTATTTCCACCTTAGAAGGTCATGATACCTACTGTCTTCCAGGGTCCCACCAGCCTACCCCGAGTGAGTGTTAAGAAGATCAACTGTAGAGGGTGCCCTTGCCTAGAGCCTTGGGAGGGGGGAAGCATTCATTGTGGTCTCCTCTGAAGATTGACCAGGACTCCTCCACTTGGCATCCTTTATACTGTGGTTGCCATGGTATCCAGGATACAGGGCCTAAGTGGGCGAACAGTAGGGCTCTTTCTGATTCTGCTTCCACTCGAAACTAGGAGCTTTCTGCCTCCTCCACTCAGTGATTCTGAACAAACCCAAAAAGGCCTGTCAAACGCTGTGCCTCTTTCTTAGCAGTAGGAGATGCAAAGTGCAGTCACTCACCCTTTACTTTGGAGAGGCTGTTCCGGCACACCCCAGGCTGACAGACCTCGATAAACTCCCAGCGGTCGTGGGCTCCTGAACCTTCTGGTTTCCCTTGTGTCCTCTGGAGGGTGGGTGTCTCACATGGCAACTAGAACAGCTGCCACTTTTTAGTACTGAGATCTGTTAACTTCTTACCATCAATACAAGAGGTTTGTGCACTGATAGGGAGTTCTAGTGTCCTTCACTCTATAGAAAGACATGGGGGAGAATTGGCTTTTGGGAATTATTTTAGAGAATAATGTTTAAAATATTATTTTGAGAAAAAATACGTTGAGGATGTTTCCTTTTCTGTGCCTTTTTCAATCTTTAAAATAAAAACAAAGCTTCAAAGCAAGAGAAGATTAAGTAACCAGATTTCAAATAAGATAGAGGGCTTAATTTTGAGATTATTTAATTGGACTTTAGAAGTGGGGTAAGCATTTCTTGATGGATCACCTATTTTTAATTACATAAATTTATATTATGTGCTGAATGGATTGATGCTGAGAAGTATAATATTTTGCAGCTTCTTTGGTAAAATGATCAAAAGAATCATAAATTATTTGACAAGCTTTATCTTGAACGATGTATGTTGGAAACACTTAAAATGAAAATATTTAATTTTAATATTTAGATATTGAAATATGGAAAACATTAGAATTGGGAAAGGGAAAATTAACAGAATTTAGGTTGAGCTTACTTTCACCCTTCAGAGAAAGTATTTCCCTAGTTAAAATATAGTGTCTCACAGGCCCTCCCTGGTGGTGCAGTGGGTTAAAGCACAGCACTGAGAAGCTAAAGCCACTTCTGCATGAGTTCAATTCCTGCCTGCCCCGGAGGTGACCACATGGCGCGGCAGACCTCTCCTGGCCCGCCCGCTGCTCCCCTCAGCAGTGTACTTCGTCCATCTGCCTGTTTGTCTCCCCACTCTGTCTCTGGTGAAGCCTCTCGCTGCCCCTGAGCCTCTGGCCTGTACCCCAGTTCTTTATGCACAAATAAATATATATATAGTGTCTCACAAAGAAGAATCAACTACAAGTGTCAACATTTTCAAGTTTATTAACCATGATGCAATTTTGGGGGTTACAGGCAATCTTGTGGGAAAATAATACATAGTAAGCTTATACTGCAAGCAGTCTTTCTTTCTAGGAGTCTTGGTGACATCTTAGAGACCATGTGGCAAAATGATGAATTAAAGTACATAAATATGAACCATAAATTATTATCATGTCACATAACTTATGTGTTTTATAATTGGGATTAAAATAGGAAAATATTATTGGTTTAATGCTCAATGTGTTTTTTTAGAAATTATTTTATTTATGAAAACAGTTTTTAATAACATTATGATTTAGATTACAAATAAAAGTATTAATCAGTAAAGATTTCCCAATTTTATCATATTTTAATTCTCAACAGAAGCCTCTCACCACCCCTGCACCTCTGGATTGTGCCACAGTTCTGTATGAATAAATAAATAAAACTTTTAAAAAAATAGAACTAGGCATTCATTCCACAGTAAGATTCTTTTTTCTTCCTTCTCATAGAATCCATGTGATGATAAACGACACAAAGATATTTGGTCCAGAGAGAAAACATGTGACCACTTACCAAAATTCCTAGTAATTGGGCCACAAAAAACAGGTAAGTGTGGCCAAATGGGATGTTTGCATTGGCTTATAGCCTTAGCAGAGTAGATTTTACTTCCTGAAATTTAGACACAGTGCAAGTTCATTGCTTTCATTTCTCTTTGCTACCATGAATTACATTTACACCTTGTCCTCCAAAGGAAATCTACTGCTGCTATTAATTAGACATACGGACTTAATTTTTAAATACAGATTTTTAAACTTCTCCACAGCTATCAAGTTTTTGACAATTTTGGGGACTATGTGTCACAATTGTGGTAACTGATTTTCAGTTTTTTGAGGCTCTGCCTAATTAATGCTTGCATTAAGTTTTAAAAAAGTACTTTTGCTTCATTCAAACTAGTTTACAGTACCTGTCAGGCTTGGGTTCTTTCTCTCTTTCTAGAACCAGTCATTACTTTCAATATTCTACATGGGTGGTCTGTATATTTTATACAAGATCATTAGATATAAGAACAATTTGGGCTTATTTTCTGCTACACCTGAGATCCATCAGACAATTTTCCCTTAGTATTCTCTCATGTACTGAAGGACAAGTGTGTAGCAATATAGTAAAAGAGAATGAAAGTATTTCACCAATGAGATGACACTTTCAATTAGAATATTTTATACTTTCTTCAGTATGTGACAGTTTTACACACCTTGTTCATGTCCTCATTAATTAAAGTTTTTATTGAGTTGCTGTGTTTTGAATTCACTACTTTGACTAGAAGCATTTTCATCAGTGAGTGCACAAACCATAACACAAAACAAACAGCCCCAATAAATAATCCTGGCGCCGATGAAGATATTTGTAATACAAGCAAGTAGATCATTTTAAAAATTGTGGGCGAAATTTCCAGACTATTAGATATTGGTTGTGAAATCTTTTCTTATTCCAGGAATATAAATTGTATTACAACAGAAAGTTACTTGCGTGTAGAGAGGGGAAAAGGACAACATGTATTTTCCAATATATCACTTTATTGTTGTTGTCTAAAATATGCATTAACTTTCCGCCACCCCCCTTCCAGCAATGCTAACTCTGAAATGCCTTCTAGGGAAATAAAACATACCTATGTTGTAACATTTTGTCTAAAATGTGAAGGCATCTCTGTCACTGTCATCAAATATTATCACTTTTAATTATGCTAAAAAATTACACATTTGTAACTACAACTTTCCCTCCTTATCGTCTGTATTTGTAAAGACAATACCTTATAGGTTTTCATATCTAATCTACTAATGTGATGATGAAGCTTTTACCTAGTTGGGGATTTCCCAACACAAGCTAAAACAGAGAAATTGAATGATAATGTTCATTCATATTCTATGAAAATGCTATCCCAATGTGATGATGGTTTTAATTGTTAAAATCCAGTCATAAATATCCAAAGTCGTCTTTGGCTCTTATTGCTTCCATTGAACAAAAGTTCCTGCTGCTGTCAGAGGCTATACATTCCCTAGATCTGGTCTTGAATAAAATGTTACCTTTAAGCCACTTCATCACTACCCAAACATCCATCACAATAAACTTAAACGCACTCTGTGGGTTCTATCAACTGTTCTGTGCAGTCAGGTACCTCATTACCAAGCTTGATTTCCCCATCTCTATGGAGTAGGACAGTCAGTCGGGATCTTTCCACCTGGCTGAGGACTTTGAGCTTTTACAGTGCAACTTCAGAATGTACTGTCTCCTGAAGCCGCCACTGACTCTCCAAGTCCAAATCATTCATTTTCTCAAGCATTGGGAAAGTGTCCTGGTTTTCTCTTATTAGCAACCTGTCTCATTGTGTTGCAAGGAACTGTTTACTTGACCCCAGGAGACGCGTAGACTTTAAGGACCACGCACAGAGTAACACCTGTCAACATCTGTTCCACAGTTTGATTTAATTTAATTGATCTGAATTCAGATATGAACTGTGGGCCCACCAGTTTGCCATATCATGCTGGATGTCCTTGAGGTTTTATTCACTCACTGACTCCAAGAAGGAATTTGAATCACCTGATCCTTAAGCTGTCCCTGACTGTGTTATCAGTCTCCTTTACCTGGCAACATACTGATATTAAATCAGGTATTGAGGTAAGTAAAATCCCAAAGTCCAATGAAAGAATACAAATGATTGCCACATGAAATGCACCTTGTTGATCTCTAGGAACTCATTTTGATGCTACAAAGACTCAGTCTTCTAAGTATTATTTCTTGAGCAAAAAGTATGCTAGAATAATTTTTGAGTTTTCTTTTACTGTCACATGACACTTTACCTTCTTTTTTTGGCAATAGGGACAACGGCACTTTATTTATTTCTTCTTATGCACCCTTCCATCATCAGCAATCTCCCTAACCCAAAGACATTTGAAGAAGTTCAGTTCTTTAATGGCAACAACTATCACAAAGGAATTGACTGGTAAGAAAAATAACAAAAAAATAAATAAATAAATAAAACCCATTATTAACACGTGCTCAATCACTGCAGAGCAATTATAGATGAATGTGTGGCATCTCCATAATTACAGAATAAATTTGTTATGCTCAATTCTACCACAGTGAATTTGAAATTAATTTATAATGATGATATGTTTAATCAGGGTTGCCTATAATTTGATTTGGGCAGTGCAATACTGATATATTTTTCTGGTAAATTACTATGATTGAATAAAGAGGATTATGGATTCTTTTTGAGAATTATTCATAAGGATATATATGTAATTCTCCATAAGCATATTATTACCGTGCTTAGCATTTGTCTAACAAAATATATAATTTGTCTTCACAATGATACTTGAAGAAACAAATGAATCAGTAGGTTGCTTTATATGATACCCTGTGACATATAACTTCGTTAACCACATAATCTGCATATGCTGTATTATATTATAGGTTGATATTAGTCATGCAAATAATCAACAGAGCATTCCCAAAGTCATACTACTTCTAGGCACACACATGCATCAAAGCAATATGAATTTTCATTTGATAAATTAGAGAAAATTTTAAAGTTACATTTTCCCTAAACTGAAATAGAATAAAATTGATATCACAACAGATCTTTATTCTGGTGCTTTTTTCCTAGCTCTATCCCAATTTTCTAAGAAAACAGGGTGCTCATTTACACTTCACAGGTATATAAGGCAAATCTTCCCTGAAGAAAATTCTTGTGCAGAGCTCTGCGTGAGTCTCTCAGGGACAACAGCACACACAAACTTGTCCTCAATGAGAGACTTGTAGATGTTACTAGGATTACAGTGGGGCAGGGGCCTCGCCAGTGTACAGATCTGACTTCTCAGGCATGTCCACTCTGCGCCTTGTCTGCCTTCTTTCAAAGAAAGATGAGAGGGTACGTACGTGAATTTTGGAACTGCCTGAAAGTCACAGAAAGCAGAGTCGTAGTTGTATCTGTGAATGCAAATGAAACACAGATTGTTAAGGAGAGTGTTCAGCACCTCACCTTTGAGAAACAGAATAACAAATGGCAAAGAGGGAAATAAGTATCTTATATGAATTCTTAATTGCTCTCGTTATTTATTTCTAAAACATTGAGGGTTAGAGAAGGGATGAGCTGGATGGAGGTTACATGCGTAATTAAAGCCTCGCACTGAATTAACCTCCGAACATATTGATTCTATAATCTGCACACAGAGGACTGTTCCCACAGCATATGGAGGGGTGAACCTACCGAGGCACCACAGAACCCACTGGCAGGAAATATCCCCTTAATTACTCCAGATAGACGATAATGCGTTCACAAGCTACGTGCACTACAAATCATGCAGAACTTCAGAAGGAGAAGAGCTGTGCCCTAACCTGCTTGGTATTTTATAGCTGTACTGATTGAGACACTTTCCTCTCTTGTGGACTTTAATCTCAATTTCAGAATTTTGCATTCACGTTTGCAAACATAAATTTAGTATTTTAAATTATTTACTAAGCAATGTGGTATAATTTGATGCTTGCCAAGGGTAAATTTAATTTTTTTCCAGATTTTACTTTTGATAGTACAAAACATCAGCCCAAATCTACAGGACTTTCTTTCTGTTCTTCTTTTCCATCTACCTATTTTATCTCACGTTCCCCTGCTCTAAATTGTTCACTAAAACAATAACATTTGGGGTCATTTTCACATTCAGAGCCTACAGAATAAGTGCTATTTCAACTATTATAACACCAATAATTAGAAATTGATAGAAGTAAGTAATGTTCACATTATATAACATCCTGAAAAATTACAGGAAATATATAGATGTCAGTGTCCCTCATTGTCTTTCTTTGTTCCTAGGTATATGGGCTTTTTCCCTACTCCATCCAACATTACTAGCGACTTTTTATTTGAAAAGAGTGCCAATTACTTCCACTCAGAAGACGCTGCCAAACGAGCTGCATCCTTGGTCCCCAAGGCCAAGATCATCACCATCCTCATCGACCCCTCAGACAGAGCATATTCTTGGTACCAGGTATGAAGCCTTGAAAAATACCATCAAAAATATTTGACTTTAGCTCGAATATAAAGTTTGGTGAATTACCAAAATAAAACTCAGATTATCGATTGAACAGCCACATATTAAGACAGTGTCCAAAGAGTAAGCCCGAAAGGGCTTCCTAGTGGTACAGGGGGTTAAGTCTCAGCACTGTGAAGCTCTCCACAGCCACTGCAGCACGAGTTCAATCCCCCACTAGGGAGCAGAACCCACATGGCGCAGCAGCCCTCTCCTGTCTCGCCCCCTGCGCCCCTCAGTAGTGCATTTCAGTAGATCTGCCTGTTCTGCTTCCCACTCTGTCTCTGGTGGATCTTTTCAACCTCCACACTTTTAACTTCCACCCTAGTTCTTATATTCATAAACAAATAAATATAAATTAAAAAAATAAAAGAGCCTCTGTCTTGAAACTTGAAGGATAAAGGAGAGGTGAAATTGAAGTGACTGTGATGTCCTCGCTAAATTGAAGTGACTGTAATGTCCTCGCTCTCCTTTGAGAAGTAAAGAATGTTTTCATCTGTTCAAACAGAGATACCCTAATGTAGGAGGCAGTAATTTGAAGAGAAAAAACAATGGGGTGTGAAATCATCATACAAAGATGAAATAAAGTTGACCAGAGAGATACAAAATTGCCTGCCCAGGTGAAGCCTAAGTGAAGTTGTTGAATTGCAGGTGGCAACAATATATTTGTACCAAAATCCCAGTGATATGAATGTATCTGTGTTTGTGTTTGTTTACTGCATACAGAAATTAGTGCCAAAATAAAGACTGAAAGAAAATATTTTAGGAGTATACATAATAAGATAAATAATATTTACTTTTTTTTTTAATCTTTTCAAAATGCCTCCAGTGAGCATATTGTCAAAAACCAGATTATTACCAGTGGTTGAGGATCCAAATGGATCACTTGAATTGGGAGCGATATTCAAAATTACTGTTGAAATCAAGAGTCAGTGTCTCCCTCAAGATATCAAAAACAAAGTTGTCTTTCTCTGTTTATGAAAATTCATAATTGTGCCAAAAGTATTGAAATATTAAGTATTACTTAAATTTTTATTGCAAATATTTGGGACAAATGTTACCTATTTTTCTAGCACAAAGCATAGCCACTGCTTACAGTTGTTTTGTATGAATCTTTTCCATATAGATTATACCATTTAAATAAAAAAAAAAAAACTATGTCTGTTTTTCCCAGCAAATTATTTGAACATAACCATTTGAAAGAAATTATTTTCCTGACAAAACTTCTTATTTCCATATTTCTAAGCCTGGCAATAGGGTCCCCAAACTATTTCACACTTCACAATAATACAGTATATTACTTAGCTGCTTGTGACTATTCGGTAGATACTATAAATCCAAATCTCAGCAGGTATAATTCAGAAAATTCTACAAATGTCACCTGCCATGGTAATTTCTACCACCCATTTTTATAATGGGCCTCACAGAGGAGGTATAGTGCTACTTTTTCCCCCATAAAATATGTTGCACTGTGACTTCCTGGTCATATTTTTATGCTAATCTTCCTAGTTGCAGGAATATAAAGAAAAGTTGGTGCTAAAATGTCAATATAGAGAAAATGAAGTACAATTCCATCTTACACTCCTTAAAGGAGAAATTTTAGCAATAGTGTATTAATATGCACACCATGTGTTTATATTGTTTATTATTCAAACTATACAGTCACTACACATTATATTCATTAAGGGTGTTATGGAGTCCCTGCATACTGCAGCAAGTGTATATACTTAGCAGAATGTCAATAAACATATAATAACGATAGGCTTCAACATGCACAGAATGATTTATTTAATAAAGATTTCTGTCCCACAGAAAAGAAAGCCTAAGACTTTTATCTTCTATACTGTATAAAAATATATTATGTTGACTGCTGAAATGTAAAATATATCAGAATATTACAAGAAAATTCATCAGAATCATTCCAATCTGTTCGTCTAGTGTCTCCCACCCAAGATCTTGATTTCTTTGTCATCAGTGATTATGTCTTACTCATTCCCACTTATCACCAGAATCCGTGCTCCAGTTTTTTGTACTGGTAATGAATTTAATGAATGCTCATGAAGTTGTATCGACTGTGAAATTCATCTCTCATTTCGTTGGTCTGTCCTGCTTGACCAAAGACAGGAATTCTCAAAAACCTACACATTATATTCATTAAGTGTAGGTTCTCAAAAATAGCAGTGAATCCGCCCTGGGGAATTAACAAGGCTGGGTGGAAAGAAAACCTTCAGAGAGCATAAAGGACCTTGCATAACGTCAACCCTAACAGCACTGGTGTCTGCTTTCCCTACACCCACGGCACCTGCCATCAGCATTCCCGGGAGCAGCTATAATGGAACAAGGAGCAGAGTCACATGGGTGCCTTTTCTTGCCATTCTAAATCTTTTTTTTTCCTCCAGCTTGATTTGCCGGGTGCCTGACATCTTGTCACATCTAATCAGACCCAGGAATAAAATCCTCCCAGTCTGTCTCTTGCCTGGCTCCTAAGCACATGAAGACAGCATGGGCTGATCTGCATACACTTGATGCATATGGGAGGCTCCTACTTTAAAACTTTTTAAATAAGCAGTGTGCCGGAGTCCAGCCTCCCAAAGATGTACTTTCAGCTTATTTTTAATTCTAAAATGAATTAGTGATCCTATGTTACTATTATGAGTTATAAGGCATGTGTGTATCATATATCTAAGTCAAATGCACATGCATGCATCCCTATGCAGGTAGAAAGGCAATTAATTTTACAGTTGACTTTTGTGTTCCAGCATCAGCGATCACATGAAGATCCAGCTGCCCTGAGATTTAATTTCTATGAAGTCATTACAACAGGACATTGGGCCCCACAGGACCTAAAAACTCTGCAGCGGAGATGCCTGGTGCCTGGGTGGTATGCTGTCCACATAGAACGATGGCTCGCTCACTATGCCACTTCTCAGGTAGTGTCCTCCATCAATGGCTACGGTTTAGATTTTTACTATTGTGATTGTGTGATGTTGACAAAGAAAATGCAAGCAAGCATGTCCACGTGTAGCGGTTTATAATCAGAGATGGTCATCCATACGGAAAAATAGGAATTTTTTGACATTTCATCTCAATCGTATTATTAACATGTGAAATGGCTGTGAAGCACAGCATGGCATCCTCTTTTAGATCGTGTCGGATGTCAGGGCTCCTGGAATCAAGTGTGGCTAGTGGCTAAATCTCACCAGGAGATAACATGGAGTTCACAGGCAGCGATTCTCAACTCCTATGATGCGGCAAGTTAGGCAGTAGCTTTTGGTGCCTTATGGAATGCCATGGGCAGAAATCTGTTATTGTCTGTCCTGTGGGACTGTTATAAAGAAAGGATTACCGTGTGACACATCAAGACGTGAGTGGTAGCAACAGCTCCAGGAACATGGTCTCAGCAAGAAATGAGGACATGGTAGATCTTCTCTATCCTCCATCCTCCAAACTAAGCCTCAACCACAGCCTAAATTCTCTGCCATGCTTTGTTAGGGGGAGTACTTGGGTCACTTTTCACTGTATGGCCAGTATTTCTAAGCTTTTGGCTTCCAGGTTTGCTCCTGAAACTTTGTAGGCTGGCTGACTAATTGCACTGTGATGAAAAATATGTTTCTATTGGGCTGTTGAATCAAGAGAGTGTCTCTGCTCATTTCTAACTGTTATCAAGTTAGGTAAAGTTTCTAACTCCATAACTCACAAGAAGTGACGTGCATAGGAAGATCTTGTTGCTGTTTACTTGCAAGGACACAAGAATATTAACCATTAAAATGTGTTTTAAGTAATGCATATTCTCTTCTTATTCACATATCAGACCAGGTCAAGGGAGGCAGCCTCGGTCTACTTCATTAGTTTTGTTCTTCAGAAATTTACTATTTTTGACTTTGCAGTTGCTAATTATTGATGGACAGCAACTGAGATCTGACCCAGCTACTGTGATGGATGAAGTCCAGAAGTTTCTGGGAGTTACACCTCATTATAATTATTCTGAAGCACTAACGTGAGTCTATTCTCATGCTTGATTTCATTTTCACGATTTGCCATCATAAATTATCACCGGTAGGTGTGTATATAGTATCATTAATACTAGCCATGAATTTGTACTTCATTATGCTACTCAAAAGCAGTCAAAGGAATGTCCTCATTATTCATTTTTGAATGCCACAAATATTTTATCTTATAAAATATTATGGGTATCTTAGGCCCCCTGTTCCCCAGTATAAATATGGTTAGGTAAACTTTTTATAAGCCTTCTCTGTGCAGAAAGTGTCCTAGGAGCAGAGTTCCAAGATGAAAAAGATACAGATACTTCCTTCAAATAATTTACTGGTTAAAAATGAAATGCTGACGGCCTTTGTCACTGTGGAAAAAGGAGCCGTATTTGGGGCAGCACTGAAATAGGGATGATTTGTGTTTCACTCTGCATTGCAAATTATGATTAACCAAGTATAATCATGGATAAATTGATAGCTATCTATTGTTGCATGACAGATCACCCCAAAGCCGACTAGCATGCAAACACAGCCACTTTGTTACACCCATCGGTTCCAAGGGCTAGGAATTCAGACAGGATATACCCAGGACAGCTTGCCTCTGCTCCTGATACCCAGTCACAGCTGGGAAGATGTGACTATCTGGATATGACCAGAAAAGCTGAGGACTAGAATCTTCCCTAGTCTCCTCGGACTGAGATGGCTCAAAGACTAATTCATAGGATGACTTGGCTTTCCCACTCTGCATTGTCTGTGTGTTGAGAGGAGTGATATTTCCAAGGATCACATGGTCTCAGAGACACTGGCCCTCCTACCTGTCCTTGGAAGTCACACTGTGTCACCATGGCACCTGTTATGATTACAGCTCAGTCTATAAACTGGTCCAAATCCAACAAAGAGGACTTGAGCCACTTCATCTTGATGGGGAGGGAGAGTCCATTCTGCACAATGGAATATGGATGGGGAACCATCACCACAGCATCTCAGGAAAAGAAACCAAACAATCGGGCAATTAAAAACGGGGGGAAATAGGCCGTCCCTGGTGGCACAACGAGCTAGGACGCAGCACTGCAAGCTGGCCACGGCCGTTTCAATGTGAGTTCAATTCCCTGGCGTGGGAGGTGACCCACAATAGCGCAGCAGACCTCTCCTGTCTCCTCCAGTGCTCCCCTCAGCAGTGTACCTCATTGATCTGCCTGTTCTGCTCCCCACTCTGTGTCTGGTGAATCCTCTCGCCACCCCTGCACCTCTGGCCTGTACCCCAGTTCTGTATGCATAAAAAATAAATCTTTTTTAAAAAATGAGGAAAAATAAAGAAGCACAATATCAAACAAAAACAAAACCTCCAAACAGCCAAGACACATTTGACTCCCACAAGACCTGAAGTACAGCTTGTTAAATTTTAGACAAAATTCTAACAAGACTGATTATATAATTTCCCAGTTCACAGCCAATTAGAATCAGCAACTAGGCAATTAGAGGGAGTGGTGGTGGGACAGAAAAAGCAGGAACAAAATTGGATTGTTCCATGTGGACTAACAGCCCTACTGGAGTTTTCACCTACATGTGGAAACGAAGACATAAGACCTGCCCCAGCTGGCTTAGTAGACAAAGTTTGCTCTAATAGGTTTACATTAATAGTTAATGATGTTGATTCCCCTGCCTGTCTGCGGCGGTCTAGGGAATGGTTTTATCCTGTTTACTACAAATAGTTGCTTACGGTTCAATCAACCTGTAAAATCATACTCTTAAAGAAGAGATGGCAAACAAGTGCAAAATATACGGTTGCTCTTGTCTCACATCACAAAAATTAATAACTGCAGTGATGTTCAGTGTAATAAAAGAATTTATATGGCAAGCCATTCGTGTCCTAAAAGTCATCCAACAGTCATTTGACAAAGACTTTACATCTTCATTTCACAATTTCATGCCTACTAAAATCAAACCATAAAATAATGAATTGATAGAACTGAAGATGAATAAATGGCCTTTGATAAACTCAGGGTAGATAAAGATGCCTCACAATAAGTGGAACCAGGACAAGAAGAAAATGCAGGTTCAAGGTGATGCCAAACCCTCCAGAAACAGGGGCCCGTATTCTAGATGATGCTTCTTCCTCGGGCAGCATTGAGTCTGCACCACAGGCTGCTGTGCAGAACGAATCCCCAGGTCTCTGCACACCTGCAAGGAAAGGCTGTGCTCACAGCGTGTGGATAAATATCTTAGCTTTGTTACCAGAGCTGTATTTTACCTTAATTCAGTTAAATATGCTCATCATGAGACAGAAAATGCTGTTCAGGGGTGCATCCTACAACTACCCTGTCTTGTTACGAACAGCTTGCTGAATTGTTTTTCCTCTTGGGAAATTAATGAAAATTTGAGAAAGGACTGTGATAGGCAAGGAGCACATTGAAAAGTCCAGGTTGGAAATGACTCTGTCTTCCTTGTATCCATTTAACCAGTGATGTATTTAATTTTAATTGATAACATGTACTAGGACAACCTGGATGGCTAGGATCAGGTCTCTAATAATAGGTTGGGCAGGGAACTGTGAAGAAAATTTCCCTCTTCCCTGAAATGAGTTCACATATGTGCAGAGGCAAATTGCAGGTGCTCCGGTATTATAGGAATGGGCCCAGGGCAAGAAAATATTCTGCAACTAATTAACTTTACATCCCAGTCAATTATGCTTCAACCCTCTAAAACATCTGCTGAGCAACAAAAATGCAAACCTTTCCGATGTTTTATGCATGCAGTCAGTCCCAGCGCAATAAATTTAAAATTTCCTTCCCTGTTTGGCGCTTTCTTCATTTTCCCTGTCTTTTTAGTACTAAACAAAAACCCTTATATGTCTTGTATTTCTCAGTTAAAACAAAGTGATTAGGCCACGCATACTTTCTTTTCAACCTTTTGCAGGCTTGGAAGTAAAATAGGAGTAATGTTTTCCTTAAAAGTATAGGGACCTGAGCCCTCTCCAGTGGCACAGTGGGTGAGGACACAGCTCTGCAAGCTGGCCACAGCCTCTTCAGTGTGAGTTTGATTCCCATCCTGGAGGTGACCACACAGCTAATCAGACCTCTCCTGACCCGCCCGCTGCTCCCCTCAGCAGTGTACTTTGTC